TTTGTGGGCTACAACCCACTTCTTCGGATGCATATATTTATATGCATAAATATATATATATATATATTTATATAAATATATATATTTATGTTGTTTGTTATTCTGAATGATTCTCTAAGTAGTTTGCCACTTGTTGAATTGGTCTAGACCAGTTTCAGACATTTATTATGCTAAGTAACCCTGCTGAAGAAATGTTAAGAAATATTAATAGATCATTGCAATTTCTCACTAGTTTATATCACTAGTCATGCAAATTATTTAAGACTCATATTGGTAAATTGTAAAGGGGAAAGTCCTAGAACATTTACTCATCCACGTGTGTCCCACTGACATAAAGAAGACTACTTAGGTGCATGACATAAGATTAATTATGTGAGTAATGATTGCAGGAGCAGTCTTAACATTTGCACATGACCATAAAAAGTAAATCTAAATAAAAATTATGAGGAAACAAGTTAAAAGTAAATATAAGTCACATTGGTAGTGAGACACGTTTCATAAGATCCTGATACATTGCATTGCATGTCATATCATTGCCGGATAGGATCATATATTGATCACATTTAGCTGTATCTTGAATAATTTTGTAGTGTCAATATTTATCATGTACCATGACCCATATCTCTTCTAGTTAGAATTATTTTCTAAGTATAAAGTACTGTGTCATGAACAATACCTGTTCATTTTAAATTAAAACATTGAGTAAAATATTAAAGGTATGCATGGCAGCACACAGATTAATAATATTGATGCATTCTTTCCACATTTAATGCTATTTATAAACTAGTCTAATCTTTGATCAACAAAACATGTATAAATATTTCAATTGGGGATCCATATCTGTTTCATTGTCACTACATGTGTTCTATCGTTATAAAATTAGCACCTCTGATCAGTTAGTGTTGACAAAGGGAGATTTTCCCCTGTTCAGCTAAATGAATCGTAGTCATGATGCAGAACCTGGACTGCGGGTTGCTTTTAAAATAGGGGGAATGGGAGAGGGTATCAGGGTTCCAACTGAGACATAAAGGAATTGTATGTATGTAAGTATGTACCTATGTACACACAGTGTGCCTCCGTTTTATTATCTTGTTAGCTGAAAAGATGGACAGATAAGAATGGCTCATTCTTCTCCATTTATATTCCACTGTTGATGTGCATGTGTCCCATGCACTCAATTTCAGATTCTTTTGGCCAGCAGCATCCATTGGAGCTGCACCTTTGCCCTGAGTATCCTTGTGTCTCCCACCTGAGGACATAAAGGGCAAGGTGACCCTAACTGTCCCTCAAATCCTTCACCATGCAGGTGTTAAAAAATGCAGGTGTTAAAAGATTCAACAGTAGTGGGAAGGGCAGATCATGGAATACATATGGACAACACATCTCAAAGAACTGTAGTTATTGTAAGGTAAGTAATCATTTCTTCTGTGAGTGCTTGTTCCTTCTCACCACCTGTGGCTACAAGTTGGAATGTGCAGTATCGGTGCATCTCACACACTGTGCAATCTACCCATTGTATTGTAAACAGATAGCTATTTCACAATTTGTTAGCTGGTAAAACCTAAGAGGATAAGGGGAGGAAAGAGCACCAAGCCCACAAAGGAAAATGATCTAGATCTCCTTTATCAGATCCTTCCATGAGAAACCAGAAATCCCCTCAAATTTTCTTGGAAAAAGGCCCAGTGAGGGTTCCTTGGCACCCATCACTGTGCGTCAAGACCAGGTTCCTCAGTACTTCAAAAATTACCCGTTACCAACCCTTTGTCCCTGAGGGCCCCAGTGCCAATAGCCCCAGTACCAACACTGTCCATACACTTACCCCTGGCTCCAGCATACTCAGTTCCAAGGGACCTTATGGTTTCCTCATTATTGGACTCACCATTATTATTAGTACAGAAGGTACTTCCTCCACAACTAGCTGCCATCCCCATTCTGGTACTGAGCACATCAGCAGAACGAATCAGAGTGCAGTCTGGTGATGCTCCCAGCATTTCATCTGGCACTGTTGCAACCCTGCAAAAGAAGCACTTCTCTTTCCCAGGCTCTGAGAATAGCAGGGGGCATTACCAGTTCAGTACCTGGAGTCTAGCTATTCAGATCCATACGCTTCAGAGAGGGAGTCTAGGACTCACTATTAATGTCCCAGACATAGAACTCTAAGAGGGATGCAACCTAGTCCAGGGCTAGATCACCTTCTCCCCCACCTCACAAAAGGGCACTACAGCCAACCATGACTACAGTGCTGCTGACTGGACAGACTGGTCAGAGCTCTGATGGGGATTTGCTGGCAGAGGACCCACCCCATACAAGCATCTATCTCGTTGTTGTATCTGGCAGAGGCTATGGTAGCCACATCTACCTCACTCCCAGACAACTTCAAAGCATTCCATGACTTGCTCTTTAGGCTGGTTGATACACTGGAGATTCCAGTGGTAGTTGTCTGGAAGACATCATGCAAACTCCAAGGGCATCCCACACACCTCTGTGGTCTGGATGTCTTGTAATGCCCATGAATGAGAGGCTCTTAGAACAGGCAGTTACTCTGACAGATGCCTGCTTCTTTGTCACCAAAATCAAAAACAGTAAATCATTGCTGCTAAGTGCCTTCCTAAGGCTTTGAGCAATTTTACATATGTCCTACAACAGGATCTCTGGTTGTCGCAATGGCTAATGAAAAACACAGAGACAGCAAAAATTTACACCTCGAGACAGATACAAGAAATTCAGTTTATTTGGCTGAAAATATTATTTATCATCAAGGCTACAAATGAGAGGTGTAAGTTACAATTGAGGTTCTTCCATTTGAAGGATGCAAACTTTTTAATATAAAGATTAATGAGGCTTGTATGCTCTGTGAAAGGACTCTCAAGTGATGCTGCAGTTCCTAAGAGTCTATACTCATGCACCAAAGAGAGAGTTCTTTAAGCCTCAACCGCATCAAAGGCAGCCAATACTGTACTCATTATCGACAGTCTGAACCATCCAGGAAGCAACGGAAATGTAAGAAGAGGAAATCATGTGCCTTTACTACCACATCTTCTCACCAGCCCTGGTCATCATCAAAGCAGCAGATTTGGCTCCTTGGTCGGGAGCAGTGTACAGTTCTCTTGGATTTCCCGCTTATATCCCCTCCGTTTATTTTATTTTTGTGGGGTCTGGAACATCATTACAGGCTGTTGCATCATGGAAATCATAGAGGTGGACTACTCGATCCAATTCCAGACACTCCCCAAACACCACCTATTTTCCCCATTACTTTTCAGGGACCCATCTCATGACAGCATGCTAAATCTGGAGGTGCAGTCATTTCTGAGGATATGTCAACCCTGGTGCTGGAGATATAATTTCGAGCTCAGGTATATATACCTGTGCTAGTTCTGATCAAGGTAGCGTTCTAAAAATAGTAGTGTAGCCATGGTTGCACAGGCAGCAGGACAAGCCAACCGATCCAAGTACCTACTTAGAGTTTCAGATAGAATTGTACTTGGGGTAGCTAGCCCATCACACTGCTCATGCAGCCATAGCCAAATACCCGTTGCTATTTTAGAGTGCTAGCTTGGCACAGTTACCATAGATATATCTTCCTTAGCTGGCCATTATGCCTTCAGCTCCAGTGTAAACACACCCCAAATCTCATAACAGTGGAAATAGTGCTTCCAGAATACAGAGGGTAACAGGGTTTATTCACATTACTTTCTAATTCTTGAGAAGAAGAGTGGATGGCACCTTATTGGACTTGAGACAATTGAACACCTTCATTCACAAGCTCAAGTTCAGGATGGTAACCCTGGCCTCGATAATTTCCACCCTAGATCCACCTGACTGGTATTCAGCTCTCAACTTCCAGGATGATTATTTTCATACAGTAATTCATCCTACCTACAGAAAATATCTAAGTTTTCAGATAAGCAATTCCTACTACCAATACAGGGTCCTATCATTCACTCTATGGAGAGTGGCAGCGGCATAGGCGCTGATTCCGTGGGTGCTCCAGGCCTGCACCCACCGGTAGCCCTCTCCCACCTCCTCCTCCTCAGCACTTCCCACCTGCCGGCGGCCCCGCCGATCAACTCCTCCCCCTCCCTCCCAGCGCCTCCCGCCCACCACGCTCAGCTGTTCCACACCAGGCAAAAGGTGCTTGGGGGGAGGAGCGGGGACAGGGTGCATTCGGGGAGGGGGCAGAATTGGGAAGGAAGAGGCGAGGCAGGGGCAGGAAGAGGCAGAGGTGGGGGTGGGGGGCTGGGTGAAGGGGTGGAGTGGGGGCAAGGCCTGGAGTGGAGCAGGGGTTGAGCACCGCCGGGGCAAGGAGGAAGCCAGCACCTGTGGCCAGCCATATTCACGAAAGCTCAGATTTTAAAAAGTATTTAGGCATTGGTCTGCTCAGTGTTCCAATACATAAGTGACTTAGGAGCCTAAATGTCATTGAACATCAATGAGACTTAGGGGCCTAAGTGCCTAAGTGAAACTTTTTTTGAAAATGAAACTTAGGTTTCTAAGTCAGACAGATATTGCAATGCCTAAATACCTTTAGAAATCTGGGCAAACATTCCTAGTAGTAGTGACAGCTTATCTCAGGAAACAGAGTCTGGGTTCATCCATACTTAGAGGACTTGCTCATTTGCAGGAAGTCTCAAGAACAGATGACTGACTCCATACAGCAAACTCTGCACCTTTTTGCCTCTTTAGGACAAAAAGAAAGCAAAGAGATGTCCGTATTAGTTCCTATTCAAATGATAGCATTAATAGGGGCAGTTGTGGACTCCACAACAGCAATGACCTATCTGCCACTCGAAGGATTCCAAGCCATAGGAGATCTGGCCAACCACCTGCTAGCTCAACACAAGATATCTGTAAGAATTTGTCTGACTCCTAGGGCATATGGCCTCCTGCACATATGTAACTCAGCATGCCAGACTACACCTACGTTGCAGGTAAGGATGGTTAAAGTTGGTACATCAGCCCAACAAACATCACTTGGATATGACAATGCAGGTCCTGCCAGGACTCCTATAATAGGTCCCTCTCCATCATTGCCATCAAATACTCTGGTGACAGATATCTCCACTGATGGGAAGGGAAGCCCATTTAGACAACTTTCAATCTATCAACTCCTCAAAAAACCCAGCTTCACATAAACATTTGAGGACTAAGGTTTGTTTAGCAAGCACAGTTTTCCTCTCTGTTCTGAAGTGTCTAACAATTCAGATCATGACAGATGAAGCCATACCAGTGTATTACATAAACAAACAAGAAGCGCACGATCCACCCCTCTATGGGCAAGTCTACATTACAGTGCAACATTCGCGCAGCTGTACCAATGCAGCTGCGCCGCTGTACCGCATCTGGTGAAGACGCGCTATGCTGATGGGAGAGAGCTCTTCTGTCGAGATAATTACTCCACCTCGGCAAGAAGGGGAAGCTATGTTGGCGGGAGAGTCTCCTGCTGATACAGCACCAGCATGGACAACACGAAACTTGCATCACTTCGGGGGAGAAGGGGTATCTTTTTCACACCTCTGAGCAATGTAAGTTAGATCAACTTAAGCGATAATGTAGACTTGCTCTATGTCAAGAAACAGCAAATCCATGGAATTACAAGATTACTCCAATAGCTTTACATCTACCAGGGTTGCAAAATATGCTGATGGATCACCTCAGCAGACAGTTGCCAGTGACCATGAGTGGTCAGTAAAGGATACTGTTATCCAAGACATATTGATCAAGTAGGGTCATCCAACCATAGGACTCTTTGCCACCAATGAAAGAAAAAGTGCCACAAGTTCTTGTCCAGAGGAGGGCAAAGTCAAGGATATCTATCCAACTCATTCCTGATCCACTGGTTCTCAGGCCTCAGATATGTTTATCCTCCAATTCCATTGATCCTAAGAGTTCTCAGGAACTTCAGGCAAGACTTAGCCAGGATGATCATCATAATAACACGAGCATGGCAAAGGCAGTCCCAGTTCTCAGACCTAATGAATCTCTTCATTCAACTTCCAAGTCAGTAGCCTCTGCTCCCAGATGTGGTATGCCAGGCTGAGGACAGAGTCTCCATCCAGATCCCTCTTTCTTGCATTGCATGGCATGAATACTGGCTGGTTAACATAAGTAGGGCAAACCTATTCTACTGAGATACAAAACAATCTTATCCGCAGTAGAAATGACTCTGTGAGGCTTACCTGCTCAGTCAAGGAAAGAGATTCACTGTCTGGGCTCAACAATACCAGTTGTCTCCACTGAAGACCCAGATACCTGACATACTAAATTACCTTCTGCCCTTAAAGAGCTCTGAACTATCTCTGATCTCCCTGAGGATCCATTTAGCAGCCATCTCAGCAGTCCACCCTCCAACACAGAGATATTTGACATTTTCACACCCTACAGCAGCTAGATTCCTGAATGGCCTTATGCGGGTATATCCCTTTTTAAGTTGCAATAATATTTGCTAAAAGGATAGGGGAGCTATCAGCTCTCATGTCCAGACCTTCATACAGTTTTTCATAAAAATGGAGTCACCTGGAGACCTAAACAAAAATTCTTGCTGAATTGTCCTTCTACATGACTAGGACTAAGCCATTTAGGGTATCCCCCAGATTATTTGTAGTTTATGATGACAGGTCAGGCAGTCTCAATGCAGAGACATTTCTAAATATATTGTACTATGAAATAGCCAACTTAGGACCCACTCCACAAGAGCTCAAGTAATGCAGCATTACCCACAGTAGAAGCATCGATATCTGATGTCCATTTCAGCTACCTGACAACAATGATTGTCAGCCCTCTAGATGTCCATTTCAGTAGGGTTGTCTGACAATCATTGTTTAGGTAAGACTCCTAGCATCCACCTCCTGTGATCTAGGTCACTGCTTGCTAGTCACCAACAGTAAAATATATATGTGGACAAGCACTCAGAGAAGAAGAAATGGTTATTTATCTTACAGTAATTGTGGTTCTTTGATACGAGTTGTCCACATATATTCCACAACCAGTCCTCCTTTTCTGCCACTACATTGTCCTATAATATCTAAATTGTGTTTTGGCAAAGGAACTGAGGGACATTTGGGTTGCCACACCCTTTATGCCCTCAGGTGGGAGACACTAAAACACTTGGAGTGCAGGCCTGGTCACAATGGACACTGCTGGCCAAAAGAATCCGAACTCAAGAGTATGGGGCATATGAACACCACCAGTGGCTTATATATGGACAACATATTTTGAAGAAGTACAGTTACTGTGAGGTAACTATTTATTTTCCTTGATCTGACATCTTTTATGGAGTTGTATCCCACAGTCATGCACTGAAAATTGTAATTCCAGATCAGCACACACCAGTTGCAGTGCTACATTAAATTTCAGGAGGATAGTCTGCAAAATGTAAAATATTGGATTTGTGTTGAAACTGAAAATTTCCATCTGACACTAGTTTATTGGGCTTTGTTTCAAACAGGCATTAAAACCAAGTGTAAATATGTCCAGCCTGAAAACATGGGATTACTATATGGAAGAGACCTTGGCCACAGGTCCTTCCTATGATTGGACCGTGGTTACTGCAAAATGCAACACTTCAGAGGAAGCTGACCAAATGGATGGTTCATTTCCCCAAAGTAGGAGGAAAATAGTGTGGCCATGCTATGATGATGTTAGCAAAGTGCAACCTGATGCAATCACGAGCCTCTTAAATGTAAGTATAGATGCTAACAAAGACAGAACACTGCAGTTTATTACACTTATCAAATTCATAGCCATTTAAGTCATTGCCTTATAGATGTGCTGTAAAAGTAAATATTAGGTAAAAATAATTGGTTTAATCTCCAAAGAGATCTGGGGTCAGAAAGTCAGTCAAACATCTTACAAAAGGTTATGCTGTTCTGGCTGAATTCAATTCTGTTAAATAGGTTTTAATACTTACCTTTTTTACATTGTGAACTGCAGCCAATAATGAGGCAATTTAGATATATCTTACTTTGTATTCCTTAAAAGCAAGGCCTTAATACATTTTTTCACTTTCCTTTTTAAATAAAAAAGTAACTTGTATAATAGATTTTCTAACTATCTTTTCCCAGAGTTTTCAAAATTGTAACCTCATATTTTGCAAGGAATGTTATCTCATTTGGGGCAAACTCTGGATTCTGTCTGGATTGCAGCAGTACTTTACCCCCCCTGTTCTTGTCCCTGTTCACCATATAGTTTAAAGCAAGTGAAGTATAAGGTGTCCAAATCTCTGTCCCTAGCTCATAGCATGTCCATTAGTCCCAGCTTCTGAGTGTGTCTCCTCTTTACAGAATCTGGAGGCAGCTAAGAAATGGTGTTTAGCAAGTATGTGTAGTAGGCCTCATCCCTTCCTTTTGGCTCCCAGAAGGTTGCCTCCAACAACATAGAAGACCCCTCAGAATTGGGCTCTAAACAAAAAGTTTTAAATTATAACCAACAGATTGCCAAGCCCCTTGGGCAAATGGCCCAAACTGTTCTTTGTCTTTCCCCAGCCCAGCACTGATAAGGAAGACAATACAAAAAGTAGAACAAGCAGAAGTAATAATAGGGTTGCCAACTTTATAATCACACAAAACCGAACACCCCTGCCCCACCCCTTGCCCTGTCCCAAGGCCCTGCCTCCCAATAGCTCCATCTCCCTCCCTTTGTCGCTCGCTCTCCCCCACCCTCACTCACTTTCAACAGGCTGGAGCAGGGGGTTGGGGTGTAGGAGGGGGGTGAGGGCTTTGGCTGGGGGTGCAGGCTCTGAGGTGGGGCTAGGAATGAGGGGTGCAGGGTGCAGGAGGGGGCTCCTAACTGGAAGCTACCAAGAAAGGTTATATTCCCAAATTTCACAACAAGAACATGTTATTACAGTTTGGAATCTAAATCAAATAAGTCTTTGTTTCGGTTCCCCCTTTTAATACACTTGGATATCACTTCTTATAAACCATGTTATGTAAATGTTGGCAATGTTTAATGCTAATGTCACGGCATTGGATTTGCTCTTTTTAAATAGTTTTATAAAATATATCCAATCCTTATCATTATCATATTTCTTATATGGCAAGTGGAAATGGAATTTGTGTGCTCAAGATGCAACCAGCCTGAAATGTATATCCTCGGGAAAACACTTTTTTATTGATTTCAGGAAATCGAAAGACTGGAGAATAAATTAAATCAGAGCCCAGAAAGGTGGCAGCTCTTGTGGGAAAGGGTCTCCATGAATCTTAAAGATGACACAAAACAAGACAATGTAAGTGGTGGAAGGGTCCAATTGACCACCTGACATGCTCAGGGTCCAATTGACCCCATTTGACATCGGGAAGGAATTTTCCCCCAGGTCAGATTGGCAGAAACCTTGGAGGTTTTTCGTCTTCCTCTGCAGAATGGGGCCTGGGTCACTTGCAGGTTTAAATTAGAGTAAATGGTGGATTCTCTGTAACTTGAAGTCTTCTAATCATGCTTTAAGGACTTCAGTAACTCAACGAGAAGTTCTGGGTCTAATCTATTACAGGAGTGGGTGGGCAATGTTCTGTGGCCTGCAATGTGTAGTCAGACTAGATGTTCATGATGGTCTGTTTTGGTATGATGGTCTGTTAAAGTGTAGGAGTCTAATTATAATTCAATCTCAGCTATATAGGCTATCTGGGAGAGTGACAAAATCACTGTATTTGTTGGAATAAAGTATTGCTTTCTAAAAAACAGAATGTATTCTAAACCATGCTACTGGCTTTGCATTGCTGCATGTGGAAAAATATGTATTCCTATGACATTTACTTCTTTTGTATCTTGAAGTAGATTGATAAATATAGCGCAAGATAAGCATTTTAATAATACACAATGGTGTAAAATTAGATATTTATAAAGCTTTCTGGGGCCTGATCCTGCAAACATTTACACATGTGAGTAACTTTGCTTATGGGAGTAGTTCCTTGGACGTCAATGGGATCATTCAGATGTGAAAATTCAATTTTGGATCCACACTTTATAAGCAGGCCTTCAATACTCTGGGCCTAATCTTTTACAACAACTGTTTGTTTACACGAGGTGAGGAAGTGATCCTCTGTGTATTATACATTCCTGAGCATATTTTTAGGGTTTAGCAAATAATAAAAGCCAGGTCAAGCAGTGGCAAATATATTTTAGATGGAAATGTTGAATATTTGCGTGGGAATATTGAATATAAATATAAATTGTAGATAGTTAAGCATTTTATCCACCATACAAAATTTCATTTACTATAGACCTACTGTTACTTTCAATCACGGCTTATATTTCATGTTGCGTATCTGCTATTCAAGAGCATAACAGAATCCGAAAATCAGGTTCTTTCTTTAGATAATGTTTAGCATATCACGTTAGCATAACACTACAAAATCTTTCTCTGTAAAGATACCATCCACCAGATTCTCAGTTTTGATTCTTAGATCTTTGTGCAAGACTGGTGGATCTCCCACTGCTCCCAAAGTATTTTTGCCTGAGGGCAGCTGGAACAGAACAGAGCACATGCCAGGCCCTCTATTTGACATCACACACACATACCCAGACTGGAATATTTATATCCTTCAGGGGACAGAACAAAACATCCAGTAGGGGGCCTAGCTAGCACTCTACTCTGCTAATATTACTGCCCTCAGGGGAGTCTGTTCTTTAAGAGTTTCTGGCATTCTGCCAGTCTTGCTCAAAGAAGCTAAAACACAAACTAGAGAATCCTGTCAGATCAGAGAAGCAAAATTATGTGTAAGTAATTTTCTTATCTCTTAAAATATTTACTTGGAGATTCAGCAAAAACACTTAGTTCTTTTAGAAAGCCAAATCTCTGAGAGCAAGTTCTTTATTTTAAATTATATTCAGAGTCATCTCTAATGTATGGTTTATGTGAGGTCAAAAAATTCAGTAACAAAAAAGCTCCATACCTATTGTGGTCATTTTTATCCTTACCAGGAATCCCAGGAATAAAAACAAATGTTTGAGCAAATCTTCATTTTTCAAGTACTCAGCTGTCTAGCTGCTGCTAGTGCTGCCATCTAAGAATTAGTCAAAACACACCAAATAAAACTGAAGGATCTATTATATCAGGGTACAATGACCTTTAAATGTAGATTTATGTAAAACTAAGTTATAGTTCTAAAATGATGCAATAATCAACACAATTTGCTGTGTTAAAACTTGAAGTCCAACTAATACTATGCAATTAAAATTTAAACATCAGCCTCTGAACTGTTCTGACCACTTTTGAGTTACCACTGTGGACAATGATGGAAGGAATAAACAATAGATTCTCACTCATTTGAATTAATGACTGGGAAGCTCATGACCAACTTTTCCTAATTAGCACAATTTTTTTAAAAGGTGATGGAATTGGAAAATGTAATTTGCTAATTTATTTTATATGGATAGTTTTGTTTTTTTAATATTTCACAATATGGATATATAAATAAATGTTCTCTATTGTATTTAGTAAAAATGCAGAAGTCTTTCTGATGAGATGAACTACAGTTCTCTGCTATTAAAACTTTACATTATGGATTATGTGGAGGGAGGTGTGAGTTTTGTGGCTGGGGCTTTTTGTTTGTTTTGCTGTAATACTATTTATAATGTATTAATTTTGGCAGTTCTGCTACTTAATTCAGCAGGTAGTCACATTTTAGAAAATTTCTTAATTCTAAACTTAGCTAAGCCTCTCACTCAAACTTTGTCATTTATCTTCCTTTTTAGCCACGAAGACATCCTTCTGGCTCATCAGGGATAATGTCTACTAATCCACATTCCTATCAGAAGAGGTCTTTGTTGCATTTACCTGACAGTGGTCTGGGTGAAGAACAAAGTGCCAGCATCTCTCCCTCTAATGGAATGGACAGACGAGCAACCACACTATACAATCAGTTCACATCAAAGAATGATGAGAATAGGTAAACTGATTAATTGCTGGGTATTACTGAAACCTCATTTCCAGGAGGGAAGGGATTTACAAGAATGCATCACTGCTGTGTGTCATACTCCAGGGAGTCAAACAGGTGATAGAATAATGATGAATGTAGTGGAATGGTGCATATATCTGCCCTAGAAGTAAAAAAGTAGAATCTTCCTAGACATGGAACTCTCTGCTGCCTTTTTACTGTTTCTTCCAAAGTTTTTTATTCTACTTAGTTGCTTTTTTTGTTCTTCTATCTTAAAAAATATTTTGGGTGAATTAGGTGTTCGTACAAATGAGGAGTTAATAGTGCTGCTGAGAATCAGGGATGAAGGGAGAAGATATCACGCAAACTTCCCCCTTACGTCTGCTATCTCAGTCCTGACCTGGGCCTTCCTTGAGTGCGGACATTTCTCCTCATATCAAATTGGGTGACAATTTAGTCACATGGGTAAATGGGAGATAGGACAATATCATCAAATTCATTTTTATTTGTGCCTTAATCCAGGATTTAAAACCAGTTGTCCAGAGGTGGTATGGTAGTGCATTAGACCACTGAACTATCTAGACAGTTATTGAATAATTTAGCATTTGGCCATTAAGAAACTTTAGCCTGTAATGCGCTCAATCAGAATAATCTTACTATTAATACACAAAAACAAAACAAAGCATTTGAAATGAGGCAGCCATAGTATCTTTAAGTCTGCTTCAGTGCCTGGACACAGTGGGAAATTATGGTGCTGATCAATGGGCCCACAGCCCCAAGTGATGGATCTTCTAAGTGTTTAAAGTTGATTTTTAATTCTGTAGTGAAAGTGGTTCCTAAATAGTTAAAGACCAATGTATGCCTTATGTGCCATGGTATTGAGGCTATTAAATCAACATGTACGTACTAAACCTTTTTGGTGATAAACATATGCTCCTTCTGTTCAAGGTCTTTTGAAGGTACACTTTACAAAAGAGGAGCTTTGTTAAAAGGTTGGAAACCTCGCTGGTTTGTACTGGATGTGACAAAACACCAGGTAAAACATTTTTAGCAAACTGGATTTTTATGTGAATAACTTATTACAGTTTTACTCAATAAGCATATAGAAATAGTTTGATTAGTACAATAGTACAAAAAAATCATAAAATAATAGAAATGTAGGGCTGGAAGGAACCCTGAGAGGTCATCAAGGCCAACCTCCCACTCTGAGGCAAGAAAGTATACCTAGACCCTCCCGAACAGGCATTTGTCTAACTTGTTCTTAAAACCCTTCAGTGACAAGGATTCCATAACCTATTCCAGTCCTTAAGTGACCTTATAGTTACAAATGATTAGTAATGATTATTTGCAAATGCAGCTGTACATAGTATTTCAATACAGATATCAATCTGTGTGGCTGGTATACCTTATAGTCAATGTGAAGGTAATCATTTTGTTTTTTAAAACAGAGATAACGATCTAGTATATAATTTTAAAGAAACTCCATGAACTGGTGGTAGTCTAGTATTTTTTGAGTGAAAACACTGTTTGTTGCTTTATACTTTATACAGAAAGACAGTCCCTGCGTCAAGGAGTTTTCAGTTGAAAATGGCAGTATATTGGCCCACCCAGAAGCAATTGTATTAAAACTTGCTATCTTCAGAAGGGCATTAGCCTGTTGGTCAGTGTTGGGCATTAACCTAGTCTTTCTGTGTGGGCCCTGTGAACTCTTCAGCAGTCAAAGCAGTTTAAGAAACCGAACACTCTCTGAAATGAACAGTCCAAAAAGCCAGAAAGTATTGTCCATTATGCAAGTAGAGATCTGAGAGATAATTTTGGAGTTTGGAGTAGGGTTGCCAACTTTCTAATCGCACAAAACCGAACACCCTAGCCCCACCCATTCCCTGATGTCCCACCCCTTCCCTGAGGCACCGTCCACTACATTCCCCCTCCCTCAATGGCTTGCTCACACTCTCACTCACTTTCACTAGGCTGGGTCAGGGGGTTGGGGTGCGGGCTCTGGGGTGGGACCAGAAATGAGGGGTTCAGGGTGCGGGAGGGGGCTTCGGGCTGAGGCAGGGAGTTGGGGTGTGGGAGGGGGTGAGGGCTCCAGCTCAGGGTGCTGGCTCTGGGGTGGGGCCATGGATGAGGTGTTCGGGGTGCAGGAGGAGGGGGCTTCTGGCTGGGGGGTGGGTCCGAGGGATTTGGAATGTGGGAGGGAGCTGCAGGGGGTTGAGGGGTGTGAGGGGGTATGGGCTCTGGGCTGGGGATGAGCGGTTTGGGGTGCAGAAGGGGGCTCCAGACTGGGGGGTGGGACTGAGGGATTTGGAATGTGGGAGGGAGCTGCGGGTTGAGGCAGGAGGTTGGGGTGTGGGAGAAGTGAGGGCTCTGGACTGGAGGTGCTGGCTCTGGGAAGGGGCCGGGGATGAGGGGTTTGGGATGCAGGAGGGATCTCCAGGTTTGGGAGGGCTGGGGCATGGGGGTGGGGCTTGGGGTTGGCTTACCTCGGGCGGCTCCCAGTCAGCAGTGCAATGGGACTAAGGCAGGCTGCCTGCCTGTCCTGGCTGTGTGATGTGCCCCAGAAGCGGTCAGCAAGTCTGGCTCCTAGGCGGGGCAGGGCATGAGGCTCAGCAGCACGCGCTGCTCTCACTTGCAGGCACTGCCCCCCCAGCTCTGCCAATGGGAGTTCGGAGCCCCGTATTCCTCCCCCCCGCCCGGCCTAGGAGCCGGACCTGCTCGCCACTTCCAGGGTACCAGCGGTGCCCTAGGACAGGTAGGGACTAGCCTGTCTTAGCTCCGCAGCACTGCCGACCGGACTTTTAACGGAGCCGCCAGGGTCCCTTTTTGATTGGGTGTTCCAGTCGAAAACTGGAGACCTGTCACCTGGTCACCCTAGTTGGGAACAAAATTAATTCAATCATCCCTGTCCAAACTGTAGTAGTTATTATACATTCCAAGCATGCATTTTTTTGACTCGTTCATTCATTCTTGGAGCACTTCCCTTTCATATTTATTTTCATGAAGCCTATCCTATGCAGATAAATTGAAGTCCAGTATACATTGTAGATTTATCAATCTGGATTGCCATAATACAAAGGTCCATTAACCTATTATCAATGTTTATAATGCAATGACCCACATATGATACAACTTCACTGGAATTTTTTTGCCTAAATATCTTCAAATCATGAGAACCAAAAGTGAAATCCTGGCCCCACTGAAGTTAATAGGAGTTTTGTCATTGATTTCAGTGAAGCCAAGATTTCACCCACAAAGTTTATTTCTAAAGTCCCCTGAAATTCCAGTTCTTGGTATAACAGCCATTTCAGACAGATGTGTATGGAAAATCTTTGGTCTGTCTTAGTGAAATCTGTCTTTACTGGTTTCAGTACATTGAGTAGCATGACCATTCATGTATATACTAACAAATTAGTGCACAGGAGGTAAGCACAGAAAATCTGTTTACTGCTTTAGACATTGAACCCTGCTTGCAATGCACACCCAATTCAGTGATGGCACTTACGGCCTAATGAACTTTAAAGAATGTTGGTCATTATCACACAAGCCTTTACTCATGCAAATAGACCTTATTTACATAAATTGCCTCAGGGGCGCATAACTAAGGACTAGCTTTTAAATAGCCAGTAGGGCCTTGTCCATAGAAGAAAATTGTGATAGAAAATGTTAGTTAACAGGTTTTATTTAACACAATGTTAAACATTATTTTCTCCTGAGTGTGGACAAGGGTAGTCATCTTTAAAAATGTTAACTAATTGTGATTAAAACTGGTGTCCCTCCTTGCACAAGAAGACATACTTCTCCCAGTATGTACAAGGTGTTCCTCTTTAATATTTTAATTGTTTCTATAGCCAAATCTCCTAGGGAACATTGTTCATGAAAGGGAGACATATAAGGGTACGTCTTCATTACCCGCCGGATAGTAATCGATCCCCGAACGCACTCCCCATCGACTCCGGAACTCCTCCAGAGCGAGAGGCGGAAGCGGAGTCGATGGGGGAGCCGCGGCTGTCGATCCCGCACCGTGAGGACCCGACGTAAATCGATCTAAGATACGTCGACTTCAGCTACACTATTCTCGTAGCTGAAGTTGCATATCTTAGATCGATTCCCCCCCACCCCCGCCCCAGTGTAGACCAGCCCTAAGCAATATCGGGCGGGCAACCGAAGGAAGTAAATCTGATTTGGAAGGACTCCATTTTCCCTTTCCTTTAAGAAAGGGTTTGTCTTTACTTCTTGCATCCAGTGTGCAAGGGTGGGTTGTTGTTTTTAATATGCAAATACCAGATTTTCTTTTGTGGAATTGTGTGAATACTGAAAGTAATTTAGTGGAGTGGTTATCATTGAAACCAGTCTCTTTGTAGAAAAGCTGCATTAAACCACTAAGTATAGTATAGGAAAATGTCAGTTTTATATGTAATCTGTAATTACCTAAATTATACCTGAGTTTTTGCTGATCACTTTCCATTTAAAATACAGGAAATAAAAACTTTTGTTAACTCTTTGGTGCAAAACATGTTCGTTAGTTTCCAAGCAATGGACAGGGAAGTATTGTGTCAGGATAGCCTGAATCCTCACATCAGAGTCGTTCCCTGGGTCAGCTGCACACTTGTCTCACAGTGCAAAGCTGCCATAAAGGCAGCAAGTCTGGCCACATGAGGATTCCCCCAGTTTGGACAATCACAAGATGGGATATTGCTACTGTAGGAACTCCTTTGCTAATTCCAAAATTCCCAATACAAGCTGTCGCTTGGACATGCCCTACTGCCTGGTGATGCCAGCTTGTTACACTGTCCATTTGTAGTCATAAGTAGTTTGTTCAGTTTATAGCAGATCTCAGGCTTTTGCAAGTGGCTCCTCAAAACCAGCCCAACATCCAGTGCCCCACAATGAGGGCACACAAAGGAGGCTTAAAAGAACTTTTTGTTCACTCTCAAAACCCCAGAAGCTGTGCCAGGTACAGAAAGGACGAGCACAAGGATCTGACCCCAAATAGTGTATTTGTCTGTGTATTGGTTTATATATTGCATTTGGTTGGTTTGTTTTCCATTTTGTGTTCTAGCTGAGGTATTATGATTCTGGTGAAGACACAAGCTGCAAGGGACACATTGATCTTGCAGAAGTCGAAACAGTGATTCCTGCATCTCCAACAATTGGCGCACCAAAGCATGCTAGTGAGAAAGCATTTTTTGATGTAAGTATACTTTTTCTTTGCTGGCCTTCATTAGAGATTTTTCTTCCTTTGTTACGTTCTTCCTATCACAGCCATTCCTGCTGGCTGGGCACTTAAGATATTTCAAGTTAACTCACTATCAAGGGAAGTTGCACAACTAACCAGTGATCCACATTCTCAACCCAAAGTGAAAATTCTGAACATTAGTATATTCAAGCAAAATGAAACGCTTCAGATATCAGAGCTTAAAAGAAAGTTTGCAAGTTCCTGAGCTGTATCTTCTAAGTCTATTTTTCGATCTTATACACTTTTATTTTCATTTTGCAGCTGAAGACAAGTAAACGGGTGTATAATTTCTGTGCCCAAGATGCACAGAGCGCCCAGCAATGGATGGACAGGATCCAGAGCTGTATTTCAGACGCGTAGCAGAGACTACCCTTCCACTGCCAACTGCAGAAGAGAAATGCTGTCAGCACTTCATGTTGCAAGAAGATACATTTTGAAATGCTATTACAGAACAAGCAACCTTCCTTTCAATTCAGTCATAAATACTCAGTATATGCTGAAGCATCTTCTCTGTTTAAGTATTATAACCACTATAACTTCTCTTGCTAGGAGAACTTTTCAAATTAGTAATCTGTTTAGCCTGAAATATAACTCTTTTCCATATGATTCCTAGCTAAATGAGCCTGCTCTACACACTGAAATATGCTACCATCTAATACTGTTTTTCTAATCAGAGTTGCATCAGAAAAACTGTCTAGCTAGAATTGTGGACATTTTTCCTCAAATAGTGTTCTGTTTTCACAGAGTTTTAATATTTAAACAAAATGGTCCAAATTTTCAAGCTAGTTGTGTATCTGGAAGAACATTTCTACAGTTTCTAAGAAAAGTTTAGGTTTGTGAATTCAGTGACATGCATAGCAGACTGGCAAATGTCACTTAATATTTTTAAAGACCAAAAATCAAAACCTTAATTTTCAAAAAAAGGTTTCTTCTCAAATCTGCTAGCTGCTCTCTAACCTCTTGCTCTAAATCATGTTTCTGCAATTTTATTGTTAATATATGGCATTTCAAGTTCCCACTGTTTAGCTAAAGAATATGCTTTTTGGGTATTCTATTTGCCCATTATAATAGGATAATGGAAAGAAAACTGGCTGATAATAACAAGAAGAAACTGGTCACAAATTAAAACATTTATAGGAGAAAAATCTGAGTATGAAAAGTTGTATATGTTTATTTATGTTCTGTTCTGCTCACTGTAAAGTAAAAAATAACAAACACAATGATAAATGCACTAAACAATAAAGCAAACACTTGCACTGAAATAGTTGAAATGCAGACAGTTTGCAGGACAGAGGTAAGTTATTTATAGCAGAACAATGCTAGCTAGATAACCTTTACAAATACTAAATATGTACATAATTTGGTTTGATGTGATTTGATACTTTAAAACCATTTTTGCACATAAATTGGAAGACTGTTTTAGATTTTTACATTTAGTAACATTGTGTTTGTTCATCTTAAAATCTTTGAGGAATGTTGTTGGGTTATTTTTATATATAGCCCAAAATTACTAGAGGTTTTATTTGCTACAGTTTGTGATGACATGGAGTGGAGTCTTTAGATAAAAACCATTGTGAGGTTTTTTTTTAATGTTAATATGTTAAATATCCAACTAATATTTCATAGAGTTTGTATATATGATTTGGTATTTTCTGATTTTTTTTTCCAGACATTCTGCTTATAATTGTTAATATCAGACTAACCTAACTGACTTCATTTCATTTATAGGATTTCAATTATTAAATAGTTTGTCACCTTTTTTTAACCACTTTTCATTTTTTGACTGAATAATATTCAATTTCACACTGCACACAGAATAGGAAATGCAGCTGTTTTAATACATATGTAATTTTTTTAAAGGAATGAAGGATTTTTTTAGCATTTTCAACTGATAAATCTCCACCTGTGAAAATGGTGTTTGCACATTTGTATTTTTCTGTGTATATGAAGTACTTTTATATGTACTTTGTAAAATACTGATCCCACTGTTTTTAAGGTTATTTGAAAATGTACACAACACATCTTATTTTGTAACTAGGTTATTTTAACTATTTTATGTATGTTACATGACTTATGTATGCTAACCATCTTGTAATAAATACACTTCTTTTTTTTAAAAAAATCCTTCCTTTACTGTGAAAGATTATATCGGTATAGTGCAATACTCACAGAATAAAGCTCTTATTATATCTTGTACCATAACACAAAATCCCAAACTTCCTGGTATTAAAATGAGTGGGGTTTTGTGTATACTTGTATATATTCCTATACAAAAAATGCACATTGAGAAACCTTAGCTAAAAGTTAAACATCTATCAGCAAAAATGCTATAAACCGAGGAAATTTGAATTTAAAGCAACAGTATCATCCATAATTCAGTCTCAATTTACATACCTTTCCCAAAGACCAAACACATAATTATTGCACTTAGTCATTAAATAATAACATTAGGTATAAAGAAACCAGAACCTTCACTGCACAGTTTCTCAACACAACTCTGCCATATGTCAAAGCCATATATCTTACTTATTTATACAATTTTATATTTAAATTAACTAGTTTATAAGAAATTAAAAGGTTAGAGTTGAAAATGTGCATCTGAATTTGGTCCTTATTTACTGGATGCATATGCATTTGTGCAGGAGTTGGAATGGAAAAGGAGTGTTATAGAGGTGAGCAGTCAGTGACTCTAGTTGGATATTGTGAAGCTTGGGTGGTAAGGTTTGTAAATTGAGTTTGGTGTGGCTATTAAGGTTTCTTAAAGTGTTGATCTCAGTTTTTAGCATCTGCGTCAATGGAAAATGCACTTAACTCTAAAAATTCTAAATAAAACACAATACGTTTTAAGTATAAATGTCAGTTTAATGTTGGATGTGGTTAAAGGGGAGGGCATGAAGGGTGGTAGTCCTGGGAGCATAGAAGAGGCAGGGTCAACGGATGTTGGTTGATGGGACAGCGGCAATGAGGTTGTTGGCCTCAGCAAGAGTCAAGAAAGAGAGGAGTTGGGGGCGGGGGCAGGGTAGATATGGTGGTGTTGATGTAGCATAAGATTTGGGAGCCACGGAGCTGGTGGAGGATAGCAACAGAGATGAGTAGGCAAAAGGGAGTGTTGAGACACAGTGACACAGGCTATGGAAGCCTCTCCCCACAGTGGGCAGAACTTCCCTTTGCTGAGGGAATCCCCGACTCTTCTGTGGGGATTCCCAGCACAGAGAAACCCACCCAGGCAGGAGGAGACTTCACAGCACTTTCCTATGGAAGAGCACCTCCTCTGTCATGCACCATCAGTACTCCCCTGCTACGAACCATTAGAACCCTGCCCATTGGAGAAGGGAGACATATTATCAAGGGTCATATATAAAGTGCCGGGGGTAGCTTGCCCTCACTTCTTCTCACTGACACCATCTCTCATAACAAATGATAGGGTGACTTACTTTTTGAAAAAAAGATGTTTAGAATATGTGAACATTGATACTTGAATGTCATATTACCAATGTCATGGTAATGTTTGGTTCAATAAAAGATATTACCACATCCACCTTGTCTTTCTCATATTACTAACCTCTCCTTCACATCCAAAACACAATGGGGGTTGGGAGATAGGGTTATAGAAACCCTTTGTGATGGGTTGGATCACAGAAACCCCCTTGGGAGCTGCCACCCGATGTGCAAAGACTACCCCTGCTTCTGTTTTCCCTGCCAGCTCAGGACTCCAGCACCCTGTCTTGCTGAGCCAGACACTCCCGTCTGGCTCCAGACATAGATCCAGGGTCTGAATCTCCTGCCCCAAAGCTGCAAGTTTACCTGAAAACAGCTCATAGAAGTGCGCTTGTCTTTAGCACTCAGATGCCCAACTCCCAATGGGGTCTAAACCCAGATAAATCCGTTTTACCCTGCATAAAGCTTATGCAGGGCAAACTCATAAATTGTTCGCCCTCTATAACACTGATAGAGAGATATGTACAGCTGTTTGCTCCCTCAGGTATTAATACATACTCTGAGTAAATTACTAAATAAAAAGTGATTTTATTAAATACAGACAGTAGGATTTAAGTGGTTCCAAGTAGTAACAGACAGAACAAAGTAAGTCACAAGCAAAATAAAATAAAATGCGCAAATCTATGCCTAATCAAACTGAATACAGATAATCTCACCCTCAGAGATGCTTCAGTAAGTTTTTCTCAGACTGGACACCTTCCAGGCCTGGGCACAATTCTTTCCCCTGGTACAGCTCTTGTTGCAGCTCAGATGATAGCTAGGGGATTCTTCATGATGGCTTCTCCCTCTCTCTGTCCTCTTCCCCCCTTTATATATC